GTGTAGCTCCGGGTGTGATTTTGGGAGGGAGGTGCGGGGGGAGTGATGCTGGGGCCGGGGGGATGAGCTCTCGGTACCCGGCTTCATCCTTCAGTGTTAAACCGGGGGGGGCTGCACCGGGGCAAGGTGGGAGGGAAGGAGGGAGGGCTGCACATCCCATACCCGAGCCAGGAGGTATGGATGTATATGCCAGGAGGTATGGATCTATATGCTTTGCTCAGCCTACATGTGATGTCTTATCCACTTAAGGCTTATAGACATAAGGATACGCCTGCAGATTTAGTGAGAAACGTCAAAAAACCAAACCAATTCTTTTTGTATTTGCTATTTTGAGTCTTTGTACAATAATGCAGACCATGGGCTGGGGCAGGATGACCCTTAGGCCTCGTTAGGCTCATTAAGTCTTTTTTGTTCCTCGTAAGTTGTTTTTTTTTATTTCTGGGTTAGAAAGTCAAAGCAGAGGGGCCTAAAAATGCCTCTTTGCTCAAATACTTCAAGTGCTCACACACCTTGTGTGTCAATAAACCAGAAGGAGGTGAAGACAACCCCAAAATGCAAACGTATCCTGTGATACAAGAGTGAATCCAGTTGTAGGAACTGGACGTGTGAAAAAAAACCTGCCCTTGTCAGCTAGGTGTGAGTTTTTGGGTGTATTGATTCAGCAGTTGTAAAAAGGTGATTAAAGAGTTTCCTATCATCCTCCCCATAGTCAAAACAATCTGCTGGAATGGCTCTTAATTGCTTTTATAACGCATGGATGTTTTCAGAAGTAAAAGAGCAGTAGTCAAACAGACAGTTCTTCTCAGAAGGAAGATTTCCTACAGCGTGTAAACATGAAATAAATCCTTGCTTTAAAAGCAAGGAAAAAAAAAAAGTTATCCCCAGATCAAACATTTTCTGGGCTTTTTAGAAATGTTCTTCCTTTATTCTACCGCTATTCGCGGCAGGTTTGTCTGATGTGGTTACTTTGTGGGTTGAATCACCTGCTTATTATAGTTTTGAGAAAGGGTGGCTTTGAAAATGATACCAGAAAGACAAAATACCTCCACCTCTTTTTATGGGACTTTGTGCTTTAGGATACTGGAAAACTAGGATGATTTACATGCAATAGAGTTTTTAGTGCTTGCTCTTTGTAAAGGATTTATTTTTTTTTTTCCTTTGCTGCTTGGTAATAGAAATAAGAAACCTGCCACAGCTCAATTAAAATTCAAAACATTTAAAATTATTGTATAGTCCAGACAGTCCATCTGTCTGAGAGTGAAAAATGGTCCTGAATGAAAAAGAGTAATCATAAATACAGCAAATAGTCAGAAAGCCATAATCGAAATCAAACGCACTGTTTAAAACCACTTATCTTGGATTAATTTTTTTTTTTTTAATCTTTTGTGGTTTTGCTGCTGCATAGCAAAATCTTGGATTCTAGAACAACTTCTTTTTGAGGCTTTGTTTACATTGTTAACAACTTCCAAAAAGCCAGTTCACACGTTCCCTTTCTTTCATGTTTTGTATGTTCTGTAATCTGTGCATATCAATTGGTTAAACACGCTGCCTTGCCCTTGCCAAATTCAGGCTTCAAATAGTGCCTCATCTCCCGAATACTTTATATTATTAATACATATTACATTTTTGGGCAAATGTAATATAAATAAGGCTATAATCCAAACATGAGCAAATAAGCAGCATATTTCACTCGCATAAAAAGCCTTGCACTGAAGACAGCAAGTTGTGTCAAGAGGTGTGGGCCCATGTGCTAGATAAGATGCCTGGCAAATACTTTTTTTTTTTCTTTTTTCTTTTTGGTCTGTGGGTAGATTCTGATGTATAAAATTCCCATCTGTACTTTGATTTCCATTCAAACAATCTAGTAATGGAGAAAGTGTTTTTTTAAGATAATGCTATAGAGAAAGTAAAGTATATTTTCAGGTATTTGAAACCTATCTTCCACTGTTTGAGTAGGCAGTTTAGCAAATAGTGTATAGTCATTATAGATTGTAACAACAGAGTCATGAAGGCTTTAGGCTCAGTGCTGAATAAAATCCTTTCGTAGCCAACATTTAAAAAAGAAAGTTTTCTTAAATGGTGTAGGGTTCTGGTTTCTAGATGAGGCTTCTCAAACTGCTTTCCTGTCAATGCTGTATGTGTTTCCATATAGTGTTTGAAATTTCAGAGAAACTAGGCCATGTTTACTATAACATATACATTTTCCACTTGTTTTCAACTGTGTTTCAGATGCTACATATTGTATGCTTACAAGTTGAATTAAATCATTTTTTTTCTTATTTATTTTTCAGGTATCCTTGAATTCATCAGTGTGGCGGTGGGACTGGTCAGTATTAGAGGTGTCGACAGTGGCCTTTACCTTGGAATGAACGAGAAGGGAGAACTCTATGGCTCTGTAAGTACCACTTTTGTGTCAGCTCACACACGTTGAGGTTTTGATTCACTCCTTAGCACTGTGCAAGCCCCTCAGGTAGCCAGCTGAGGAAGGATTAACTTTCAAAACACTAACATCTTTCCCTATTGAAATGTAGAATGTATTTTTACAGTATAGCCTTGAATAGTAAAGATTCAATGGGAAAAATTTCTCTGACCTGGATGAAGAGAACTGAAAAGAAATACTCCTCTTAAATTATGACAAAAAGTAGAAAACCAAACTAGCTATTCAAACAGCATTAAGTTTAATTTTCTTTTTATCAATACTGCAAATGTATCATAGTGCATACTCTGTCATCAAAAGCATTGGATGCAACTGGGAAACAGTTAAAATGATAGTTATGGAGCAAATAAGCAACAATTAATATAGTACCCAAACTTACTTTATGTATAGCCTAATGCACCTTTACAAATCAGCAGGTGGTACTTCCAGGTACCAGCTTTTTAACATAAAAGCATTCTTTCAAACGGTGGGAAGAAGAATATAAAACTGTATCACAGTCACGGTTTGGTACCGGTGTTGTTTGAAAAATCTGGATGGTGCAAGAGTACTGGCAGCATCTGTAGATCCCGACTGGAATATTTGCATTTAAGCATTAAAATTAGCTTGTGCTCATTGTGGCTGATCTGTATCTGTTGAATAACTTCAACATATAACTGTAAAAATATAATCTTTGATTTTTTCCAATACTACCAGGGTAATAACAGTCTTAGATTCTTCTCCTTAAAACATCTTGAGATGAAACAGTCTGTCTCTCCAGTTCCTTTGGCTGCAGTTAGTCCTGTTTAAAATGTGAGAAGTGATACACACCACAAAGAACACATGGAAATACCTTCTTGATCTGCGACATTGCACCTGAGTCCCTCCACCAGACCTCATTTCTAGAATGGTAGATACCCCAAGACAGAATAGTTCCTGTAGGTCAGGTGAATTTTAGTTAGATCATAAACAAGTAATGCCTTCTTGGATAGACAGTTACCTAATTCATGTTTAAATCCCAAATTGTGTATGTATGGGTCCAGTTTTCAAAAGAATGAAGATTAAAGTAAGCCTCCAAACTCAGTATCAGGTCTACATACTCTTCTGGGGTTTGATTTGTTGACAGTTAAAAGAACAGTAAGGCCACAAAAAGCCTGAAATATTTTATTTTCATCATTTTTTCATGTATGTTCAGATATCTAGTGACAGCTTGCCTTATTTTTCTTCTCTGTTTGTTTCTGTAGGAGAAACTAACTTCTGAATGCATCTTCAGGGAACAGTTTGAGGAGAACTGGTACAACACTTACTCGTCCAACGTGTACAAACACGGGGATTCGGGGCGGCGATACTTCGTAGCACTTAACAAAGACGGTACTCCCAGAGATGGGGCAAGGTCCAAAAGACATCAGAAATTCACACATTTCTTGCCCCGGCCTGTGGATCCTGAAAGAGTCCCAGAACTGTACAAAGATGTGCTGGGATACAGCTGAGGAAGGAGGCAACTTTGGAAAAAAAAAAACCAAACAAACCCATACTGGAGCTGTTGGCCATGGAGCTTCTGTGCTCCACGAGCACCAGCACGAGGAACCTGCAGAGGTCTAGGATGCTGGACTGGAAGAAGGTGCTTTGTGACAGACAAGCCTCTGCTTTCCAACCTGTGGATTTAGGAGACAAAGGCTTTAAGTGGAGTGTGGACCAGCCTCCTCCAAACTCGCTGAACTGCGTGGTCGCCCGGAACCAGAGGAAAGTGGGAGTGTGACTTTTTTTAAAAATAACAAACTCTTGGTAATTTTGTCTGGATTACCCGTGGTCCATAAATTAACAAAGAGCTACCTTCATTGTGTGGATGAGACGAGCTGGAAGAAATAGAAAGAAATAGACTATAAACCAGTAATAAATCCTGAGAACTGTATATGGAGTTTTAGTGGCTCCACTTCAGTGATGGACCCTAGGTGTCGATGTGTCATAGTCAGAGCTGGAACTTTTCTTCAGGATGGACCTATTTATACATCTCCAGATAGCATATATTTATTTTATATATTTATTTATTAAAGAGTTTATTTTTTACTGGGATATGAAGAGAATACAAGCCCCTACCCCCAATGAGAAATCATTTACAGTGCCAATATTTACTCTGAATAGTGTCATGAGACAGAAGTGACATTACCTTGCAATGCATCCAAAAACTGAACATTCATATTGCATCGTTTATCAGTTGCAGATAAAGTTATATTTTATGCACATACCATTGCCTTGTGACTGTCCTTATTTTGGAAAGAATGTTTAATTATTTTTTTTTTTGACCTATGAGAGTGCCTTACAGATCTGTATTGAATTCAAATGCACATTTAAAAAGGGAATTAAAAAATATTTCACTTTATTTGGTTTACTGTCATCTTTAAATTGAGAGTCTCTTAGCACACCATGTGTAATAGCTCAAACCTGCAACAATTGTGAAATGAATTGCAGTTTGCCTGAAAGGAAAAGTAGTGTTAGCTTTTGCAATCTTGATTCAAATCACAACATGCTTTATTGGTTTTTTACTAAATGGTTCCTACTATCTTTACTAATGCACAAATAACTATTCTCTGTATTACTTATCATTTTCATGGAGGATTCTCATCACTGTATAAGACATTTTAACTATTTTTAAGGGGACATAGTATCAGGGTAAGAAGTTTCCGATATTGCTGAATGAAAAGCTTCTGTGAGTGAATGTTGTTTCTCTGCTGGGTACAGAGGAGTCTAAGGAGACCACTTTCTTACCTTAATTCCTCCTTTAGGGTATAATTCCAGCATAAGTCTTTGTGTGAAGACTGTATTGCAATCTATAATGAGAAGTGGATGAGCATAAATTAGTGATGGACTGTGGACAACACTGTTTTACTTTCTGCCAAATGGAAATTAATTGCAGATACACAGAAAGGCATTTCAGCGCTTTGTGGCTAACAATATGTAAGTTACTAAGGTTAAGGCCTTCATTAAAATTTTCTGATAAACAGGCAGTGGAGGATCTGCAGTGCACTGAATACAGTTTAATAAAATAATGTTGTAATGTGCTTCAACATAACAAAAAACAGTGATTTTATGGGTGGCACTGAGTCCCTTTAGTAACCGATCAATAACTGAAGAGAGAAGTATACACTTCAACTAGAAATTTTTTTCCTCCAGTGAGTTAAAAAGTAATTTATGCCAGGTAAACCGTGTAAAAATCCAGTGGCTCCTGCTCAGGACATAATTCCCATGCATTTCTGGCAACCATGTTCAGTAATTAAATCATACCAATAAGAATCATCTCTCTTTAGATGAGCAGTGTACTGTTAATCCAGCTTTCTCAAAAGTACTTTGAAGATGGCAAGGGCTGAAATAATCCCTGTTGTTATTATTGTACATCCTTTTTCACAGATACATAACAGTTCAGGATAGCTGAGGATAGCTTTAAGAGGTGAATAGTCAGCTGGAACTTCTGTATCCAAACTCCTAACCAACATATAGATGAAGAAGGTGAGTGATATATGCTTGTCGTTTTCTTGCCCCATTCCAATTTTAGATATTTGCCAATAATCCTTGAACAAAATGTAGTGGGACAGGTATGGTGGTGATGAGTGACTGTACAAAACCTGTAGGGCATTGGAAAGCTGTCACAGCCTCCTTTTTTAGTTCTGGTACATTGCTATGGAAGGAACATACTGCATTTTCCCAGTTAATCTTACTTGTGGCATTTATTTGCTCTCTGTTATATTCTGCCTGTCAATGATTTTCACATGCAGTTAATGTTTTTCTGGTTTGAAAATGGCAGATGCAGAAGCAGCGCCTCAAAATAGCTATCGTCACGTGTCCTTAGACTAATAGCTTTAGTTGTCAGTGGTTGGGCTTTTTGTGTGGTTTTCACTCCCACTTCAGAAAGCCCAAGTGGATAGAGAGGGAGAAGCTGGTTCTGTTTAACCAGTAGCATTAATGATCTAGTTTAGCACTCATTATGTTTTGCATAACCCTATCAGTCTGAAAGCTGTGGACTGTTCTCATGTTGCGAAGAGGGTAATGTGAAGGAGGTGTGACATCGTTCAAGGTTCAGAGGGAATCTCTGAAGGCAGAGAAAATGTCGCATCTTGAAACAAATCCCTGCAGGACTGGCAGCCCTATTTCTGCCTTCCCTTTTTTTTCCAGGAGAACCATTGAGGGTAGTTACACAGTTTGTATAGCAGGTGCAGCTCCACTTTCTGTTCTCCACCCATTCTCTTAATGGCTGTAAAACTTGGCCCTTTGGTCTCAGGGCTGGCTGGAAATTGTTCTCCATGCTGGTTCTGTATTTCTCCACATATTTCGTTTCCTGCTGCACTCTTTTCCAAGTTGTGTCATACAGGAGATTTTCTGAAATCCAAGAGTAATCTTGACTTCTGCGCATATTTGAAGTGAAATTGTTACTTGTATTTATCTTTGTGCTCTTGGTCTGAATGCGGAAGGTAGAATTGTTAACAGTCTTCTGTGGAAGTCTACCTGTAATAGTTACAGGATATAGGGGAATCCAAGTGCTTCTGGAAATGGGTATTTATTAGGCAAGCTGATATAATCAGAAAAAGTGGACAGCTAGTCTAAAAGGCAGACAGCCCTTTCACTGGTCTGGACTGTTTGTGTTTGCACCAACTGCCAACTGTCCCATCTGTATCTGTCCATATCTTCCTGTTTTCCATCACAAGCTTGTTGACATTGTCGTTCATGCTCAGGTGTGACAGCCAGCTTCCCTGATTCTGTCTGAAAGTTGAAATCACTGCTGTGGCTGTGCACTTTGGTAGCTCTCCAGAGTCGTGCAGAATTTACTTTCTGACGTGTGAGAGTCACTTAACAAGTGCATTTTCATCTTAGCTTTCATTTCCAGCTATTTTAATTTGTTGATGTGCTTTGTTAACTCATTTTTCAAAGCCATCCAATCTGCCTTTAGTTGCTTTGTAAATTTTTACCGAAACATAGATCTTTACTAGCAGCTATATCAGCTGTGGGTGTGATTTTTCTAATTTTTTTTTTGTTTAATTTATGTAATCGTACTATATTACCCTACCATGGCTCTAGTTATACCATTACAAACCATTATGTTTGCCTTAGTCCTTTTTCTTTACAGCAATGAGCCAAACAGAGGGCAGTTTTGTACATCATAAATGCATCTGCAGTATTGCCTTAATGTACTGGACTAAGCCTGTGTCATGAATACTGGGGTGAGATGCTTAAATTTTGCTTATCTTGCTCCACACTGCACAGAGATGCTACCAGTGAGGAGGCCTTTTGGAAATCTCTTCATTTGCTTCTTTTGCTTTTCATGTGAGAAAAGCTATTGACCGCACTGCTGTCCAATTCTCTGCAGTTATTTGGTGGGTTTTTCTAGTCGTGCAACCATTTGAAGACTCAAGTTAGATGAACATAGCGGCTGCATGAGATCAGACAGCGCCGCATCTCCACTGCGTGGGGAAGAGAGTAAGAATAGGACAAACATATAGTCTGGGCATTCATAGCAGAACCCCGACGAGGGTTAGGACCTGAAGTCTGTTCTCCTCTGGGTCATTTCCTTCTATGAGGCAGAAAAGTGAAGTAAAACATTTCGCAAGGTTGAAGAACATGGTGGTGGAATTCTATGCTTCCTGGATGTCTGCATCAACCTGCACTTTGTCAGACATTTCTCTTCAAACAATGTCCTGTGCAGTACAGTAGTATGTTCAACTGCTGTGCTGAAATAGTCACCGTTAATCCACTGAAACAGGTTGCCCAGGGAAGTTGTGGATGTCCCATCCCTGGAAGGGTTCAAGGCCAGGCTGGATGGGGCTTTGAGCAACCTGCTCTGGTGGGAGGTGTCCCTGCCCATGGCAGGGGGGTTGGAACTGGATGATCTTTAAGGTCCCTTCCAACCCAAACCATTCTATGATTCTATGATTTAATGTACTCAGTGTCAGTGCACATCTGGATGCACATGTGGTCCTCTCAGTACAAGGCAATAACCACATTGCTAGACAGAGAAAGAGAACATTCTGAAGTTGTCATATACCATGAAAATGTTAATCGGGAAATTTTTGTTTCTGGCATTAGTTTAAAGCAAGTTTTTCATAAAAAGTTTTGCAGCACTTTTGACAATGCTGTATGGGTTCTTAGCAGTCAGAGATTCATGGGCAGAAAAGCAGAAAGGTGGAAAAGCTTCTCAGGTGGAACATGCTTCATCATAATGTCCTTAAATTGTTCAGAATAGGAAGGAAAAAAACCACACACGCACACACACACACACACACACAAAGCAGGGAAGAGGTCAAACAGTTACTTCTATTGCCAGTTGGAGAGATATTAAGTTTCAAACAGAAATTGGGTGGCAGCTTGCCAAAATAACTATTTCATCTGCAACATGATCAGACACTAGAACCATTCTGGAAGTTCAGGAAAAAGAGAAAATACTGAATTAAAGCAGTGGTGACAGTAGCTCTCTGTATTTCAAATATATCCAAAATGCTATAGATATTGTTCTCTTATAGCAAGTCTCCAGCAAATGCAATTCATAGGGAAAGGAGTAAGAGTGTTAGAAAGGCAGCCTTTTGAAAGTGAGCATAATAAAAACATTTCTGCCGTAAAGTCCTCGTTTAAATCTTTTGTCTAATTATAGGAAAGTTGAATCATGCTTTATTCACATTTAAAATATCACAAACCAAGTAATATTACTTTCATGAATATCTTCAAGTCATGAGTGTTACTTGATTTATGAATAGAGCCCAACTTAAGTCACATTTGTCTCCCAAATGTCATCTTTTATACATACATATCTACACTAGCAGATATTTATGAAATATACTTTTCAAATCAGTTACAAGTGTTTCCTTTGTTCCTGCCAATAACAGTCTCAGTTGTTGACTGTTTCAGGGGACATGTTTGTCTCCTTATTATTCATGCAAGAACCTCCATCCATTTCTAACTCCAGTGGCTATCAGGTGCCATAGACATGGACATGGGTCTCAAGGTGTGTAGATCTGTCTTAGGGTGGTTTCATCTGTGTGTGGTTGAGATATGGGAAGGTGGTGACAGGCAACTGTGCTTACACACAAGTGTTTTTAGCAGTTGACCCCTATTGTGCTGAAGCTCCTGGGTAGAAGCATGAACTAATATCATCCAACAAGTCATCAATATTCTGATCATGCTGATTCCATGTCTCCTATTTTGCTGGAGCCAGAAAATAGAATTTCCTTTGCTAGTAGAGGTATGTACAGAAGCCGGTTAAGCTTGGCATGAACATGAGGGAGGTGAAATGAAAGGAAGGGGAATATTCTCAGGACTTTTGCAAACTCTGAGATA